AGCGTTTTTAATAAAAGCCAAACAATTTCACTTCCGTTCTTGCAGGACACAGAGGGTAACACAACCTCTGCAGCAGATGAAAACCAAAGTCTAAGATGTCCTTTGTTACCAACCAGGTGTTAGTATCATATTTAAGGTCATAAGAAACACAAACTTTAATGCTTTTAACCTGTGATGTCTCCAGCTACAAGATCAGGACAGAACCCTGCTGAACACCCACCACAGCCCCTGAAAACAGAATCATTGCTCCAGTTTGGTATTTACCTCCATAATCCTGTGTGCCCCTATTCCCTGTAAACCCCTGACCTCCTCCTCACTCTGTGCTGAAGAGATACCGCAGTCCCAGTTCCTACAAGCCTCAAACACACACTCCCATTCCACAGATCCCTACAATGGTGCCACCTGAGACATTGAAACTCATCTCAATCACTTCAAAGTCTCCCTGACAACTCGTTTGTGGTAACGACCATTAATAAAGTATTACTGACAATGCCTTCCTGGTGCCTCCCTCCCCTTGCTCATCTATCATTGATGTGTTTTCTTCCACAGCTCCCACCATCTGGAGAAGCCCAAAGAAACCGAGTGAATGAGGATAGGGAATGCTGAACCTTAATGGCAGGGTGGAAAAAAACCCCAAACCAACAACCCAACAACCAATCCTTTATCTATCACACAAATAAGTAACCGTGGGGAAGAAGAGTAGAAATATTTACTGAGGCATAATTTGACTTGAATACACTAAAACAATTTCCATTACGCGTTACAGACATGGAAATTTCACTGCAAAAGGGAAGTTGATAATTTTGCCTGACAAAGGATTTTCATCTAAGTGTTCAAAGGTCAGCACACACGTGCTTGCCTGCCAGAGTAGTGTCCTATTTTGGAAGATGTAAGCTAAGGAAAAGTTACTTCTGCAAAAATCAACAAATGGTTTCAGCTCTCAGATCCAGTCCTATCTCATGGGCAACTTCCTGCCAAACGCTGATATCATCTTGGATTAAAAAAATAAATACGACCAATTTTGTTCCAGTCAGCAAGCCTTTGGATGGAGTCAGAAATGCTGTCAGCTAAAGAGAGTCAACCTCCCTCTCACAGAAACCAGTCGATACAAAAAGTTGAAAGGAATGCAAAGAATAAACCTTATTATTTCTAATGATAAACCAAATCCAGTTTTACCAGACAGCACTACCTGAACAGCAAGTTAAGATACTTGGAGATTGCTCCATTAATTCTTCCTATTCTTGTATATCACAATGGAACTACGAGCAAAATGCACGAGATACTCCAAGTTAAGTTTTGCTTTAGGAGCTGTTAACAAGCAAAATGAGCTGACTCAACTGCATTTTACTTTCCATGTAGAAAGAACTGTGCAAAAGCAGAAGTTTCCACTCAGGAAGCAAATGAAACAACCTAACCTTACATAACACCCATTGAAAAAAAAAGTTTGATCCCATGTTCACAGTGAAAAGCTGATCCTCACTAAGGACCACAGCGGTGTTATGACTCGTCAGCCCTTTTAGAAATTCTCCAAACACAGCTACAGAGCCCCGTATAGTGAATTTAAAGTTGCTGAAGGCCAAGGACCTGTTGTGTCTAAAGCTGCTTAAGGCTAATCTGTGCTTTCACAGGTTGAAAACATCACTCAGAACAACTGAAAGGATCATCTGAGAGAAAGATCCCTGGTTCACTTCTCATAACGGGTAGCAAAGTTTGCTGAAGGTATTAGTTATGCCAGGTAGTCAAAACAAAGATCAGAAAAACTCTTGTGCCAACAGCCACCCCAACAAAGAATAAAAAAAACTCTGATGGATTATCAATACATATGCAGAGCACCTTTATCCTACTTCTTATGCAACTGTTGGCCACAGGACACGGGCTGGAAGTCCCTGCTGCCTGAATCAGTACAATGTTGATTACAGCACGACCAAAGTCTTGAGGAGAAAAGTCAAAGGCCCATTTCCCAACCTCCAAGCAATCTCCAAGGATGGAGCCTTGCAGGCATGTTCTGCATGACACAGAACAGAAGGGAACCTGCAAAGTACCACACAAGTGTCTCATGCACAATGGCAAAGTAACTACAACTCATTACTGACTTACTTCTATAATATCAACTCTGAGGAGAAGTAAAACAAATATTGTACAATAAAACAGCATTTCCATCTCTCCCTCCTAGTTTATTTTTTTCCTTCTGGAAAGAATTCCCATTGCTCTGGTAACTGAAGTGTTGTAGTTTAATCCTGGTTAAACTACTAAAGAACAACAGGAGTGGGACATTATAAGAAAGTTATCTGGTACTACAATGTCGACCCTTCCATCATGGCAACAAAGTTTGTTTCTATTTCTGGATGTAGAATCCAGGAAAAAAGTTGAAACAGGGAAAAATTTAACCCCATATAGTTAAGAAACCCTCTAAATTACTCACCTCACTCAAAAAGAGCATGTAAGTACATAAGATTAAACTTTGATAAAATTTCATGTCAACACATCTAAATCACACACCTTCTCAGACTTCTGCAGTCAAACCAAGCCTGATCTTGTCAGCAGAGAGACCAGAGGAGAACTAAGGGACACAATATCACACATACTAATTAAAATCACTGTTAATTGAACACACATCATAAGCACCACCATATTGCAGAACCCACTTTACGGAGAACACACAAACAAAGCAGCCTGGCAGCTCACAGCCCAGGAAAACTCAGTGTACTCAAGGAGGAATACTGATCTGGCAGGGCAGCCCGTTTGGGGAAAGCATTGCACCCCTCCTCACCGTGTTAGCTACGCTTTATCAGCCAAGGGAAAAACCAGAGTTGTCAAAAATGGCATCCCCTCAGCTCATCAGAAGGACCAGTTATGACTGTAAGACTGAGCAGTGTTGAAAAACCCCCATGCACTCACCCAAAGCTAAAGGGAATGTGAGCACATCTTCAAGAGCAAACAGGTTAGATCCACATGACTGACCCAAAAGCAATATATGCAACACATGAGGAAGGCTGAAAAAACCCCAAGTATTTTTATTCCAGCTACATCAGCACTTTATGAACAGTTTCACTATTTCCTGCATTGTCGACTCCCCTCTTTGGAGGCCCTTTGCTACAAAATGAAAAGGGACTGGAGGAAACAAATGACAAGAAGGGAAATGTATCTGTGAAATCACAAGTACTACCAGCTCTCAGTAAGTTTCTTCAAGCTGATTCATTTTGAAAATAAGGCCCTTGTGAAAGCAAATAAAAAGGAAGGAAATGAGAGCAAATCCTATGTTTACTGAATAAGGTAAGAAAAAACAGCATCATGTTCACAATCCTCAAGACTTCAAAGTGAATCAGTGAGACAAAAAAATATCAAGGTGCTACAGCAGTTCAAGAAACATCAAGAAACTCGTTGGAAGATGATCTCTTTAGAAGTATAAAGAGATATTTTCTATTAAGCACAGTACCAACGTAGGCTTTTTTTAGATGATACAGCATTTATAAACGTTTATTAAGCCTTTTATTCTACAATAAGTAGAGTAAAATACCTGTTAAGGTAAAATGCTACTCAGGCCTTAATTAGCTGGTGTTACTGATACAGCATTTTGAAAACGGTTGCAAAGAGAAAAGAAATAAGCCAGAAAAATGCAGAAAAACTGTTCTTAAAGCATTAGAAATGCCAGCCACACCTCATTTAGTCAATCACATCGGCCTAAATAAAAATTATCTCTTCCTTGTGCACCAAGTTCAGCACAATAAAATGTCTGAAGAGGACAGGGCATTGGGGTAACATAAAACAAGTCACATGCTATTCCACTCCATCTTTAAATCCATTTCCTTTCAATAAAAACTCTACTCATTCTCTCAGTGTTATTTTTCAAAGCCAGCATTAGTTTTACCCTCCTAAACATGAGCAACCTCCACTGCAGTTCACCCCTTCATCCCAAAACCAGTAGACTTCACTTGAAAAGTGGCTTTAGCTACAAGTAACTACCCATAAATCTCAAGTCTTGCCAGATCGAGATTTCAATTCAACATCTCGGTGAAGACCTTGAAAATTTTGCTTATGTTTATTTCCGCAGAATAGCATTTTAAAACTGACAGAGATACAAGTCACAACAGTGCTTTGATATATGACATCTCGTTGTCATTAAAAAAGGTTAGTGAAGCTTTGGAAACCCCTTTTCACAACCAAATTTACCCAACAAACCCCAACTTTTTTGGAGGAGGTTGTTCCAGTTACTAAGGAGCTTCTAAATTAAGTCGACTCAGGAGCTCGAAGGGAACTCCTCCAAATCTCACAGACGTGACCTCCTTGTCCAGGAGCGCACACACGCAGACACACACACACACACAGACACACACAGACACACACACACACACGCACACACGCAGACACACACACACACACACACACGCACACACGCAGACACACACACGCATTTGGAGGAGCTGGGGGGAGAAGGGCAGTCAAACTCCCAGCCCAGGGCGGGTCGGGCGCTGTCACTGCGCAGCACAACCCGCAGCGAGCCCGAGCCGCCCCAGCGCTCCCACTTTCGGAAGGTTTGCACCCAAACACGAGCCGCCCGATAAGCGGAGGGCACGAAACGCTGCCCTCCGTGAGCCCCGGGCAGCGCTCGCACGGCGGGCCCCGCTCGCACGGCGGGCCCGGGCCCACACAACTGTTGCTGCCGCAGGGGGAGCGGCCGCACCGGGCGGGCCCGGCCGGGCCGCGGCCCCCGGACAAACCCCCCGAGTGCGGCCGGGCCGCGGCCCTGAGACCGGGACAAACCCCGCGGGTCCGGCTGGGCCGCGGCCCCGGGACAGGTACAAAACCCCGAGTCCGGCCAGGCCGGGCCGGGCCCCCGCTCCCCCTCAGCGCGGGGCCCTCACGGCCGCGGGGCTCCCGCCCACGGAGCGGCCCCAGCGCGGCCGCGGCGACACGGGCGGTGCCCCCGCCCTTCCCTCCCTCCCCGCTCGGCCCCGGGCACGACCCCTTCTGTCCCCGCGGGGATGGCGGCTGCCCCTCACCGATGGTGGAGATGAAGGTGGTGTTGAAGGCGTCCTCGCTGAAGCGGAACAGGAGGCAGGTCTTGCCCACGCCCGAGTCGCCGATGAGCAGCAGCTTGAACAGATAGTCGTAGGTCTTCGCCATCTTCGCCTGGGGCTCGGCTCGCCGCCGCTGCAGGAGGGGGCGAACGCGGGAGGAGGGAAGGAAGGAGGGACTCCGGCGGGGAGGGAGGAGGGAAGGAGCGAGGGAGGCACCGCCCGCGCACGGGAAGCGGCAGCGCCGCGTCAGCGAGCGCCGGAACCGCCGGGCCCGCCGGGGGATGTGGTTCTGGGCGCTGGCACCGCGCGACCGGGGGGCCTCTCACCGGCCAGATTCCTTTGGGGACCAGCAGGAGTCATGGAGTTATGTGTCCAAGCGGCACATTAAATAGTGGCAGCACACTGCGGGTCACCAGCGAGCACAGGACAAACGCGACTCCAGTGTGAGACCTCACGCGCTCACACCTCGCCTCGGGCACGGCAAGTCAGAAACTGTTGTGCACAGCACAGAAAAACTGTGCTCACGCAGGGCTGTGGAACAGCGTGTCTGATCTAGAGCAGCACAGACAACGTGGGTGTTGTACAACAAGGAGCTCTAGAGCAGCACTGACAGTGTGGGTGTTGTAGAACAAGGCAGCTATCAGTAGGACAAGAGGGCACAGTCTTAAGCTCTGCCAGAGGAGGTTTAGGTTGGATATTAGGAAAAAATTTTACAGAGAGAGTGATCAGCCATTGGAATGGGCTGCCCAGGGAAGTGGTGGATTCTCCATCCCTGGAGATGTATAAGGTGAGACTGGATGTGGCATCAGTGCCGTGGGCTGGGAACCACAGTGGGGTTGGATCAAGGGTTGAACTCGATCGTCTCGGAGGCCTTTTCCAACCTGGTTGATTCTGTGATTCTATGATTCTAAGGTGTCTGCTCAAGAGCAGCACCAACAATGTGGGTGTTGTAGAACAAGGAGCTCTAGAGCAGCACTGACAGTGTGGGTGTTCTAGAACAAGGTGTCTAGAGCGGTTCAATAAACACTTTCCCCCATCTTGGTTTTTTTCTCCCCCACTAATAATTATCCCTTGGTGTGAGGCAGCCTTGTTACACATTCATTATGTTGTGTTCCCCATGGGATGTCACGAGGCGCTATAAAAATAAATAGTGCTACTGAAGCACTTCAAAATGACAACAAAGAGCTACTGCTTTAATTTAATTTAAATATTGTAGCCTTTAGAGAAGCTATAAACAGAACTCTCTAACGCTATAAATCACTACGACAGTTCTCAGTTCCCTCTTAGGAAAACAAAGGAAAAAGAGATGTTTTCCCCAAATCATTCATTAAAGGATTGTCATCCTGCAATGTTCCCTTTCCAGCTCCCTCCAGGTTTGCCCTGGGCTCTGTGCAGTAATGGCACCCTCCTGCAAGTCCCTGGGGTGAAATAGGGCTAAACTGGTCTAATGCCTGGCTACTGTTGTATTTGTGCAAAGGATTCTGAGGAATCACTCTGGATAAATACCTTCAGCTATTATACACCTTGAATAAGCAGAACCTGTTGTGGTTCTAATTATTCCAAATCTTCCCTGGTAAGGGTCTCATTTTGGTGGTATTCCTGGCCAATATATGTCTGTGGTAGCAAATCATCCAATGGCAGATGTGATGTAAAACTCTGTACAAGATGAATTCAGTAGGAGCTATGAATGCTAATCTATATTCCAATTAATTGGTGCAAAATCTAATTTTATATTTATACATTTATGTGCTGTATTCTAATAGAAGATAATCAAGGCTGCAAAACAAGGATGGGGGGGAATTGCCAGTTCCTTTTTTCTTTTTTTTTTTTAACACACTTGAGGATCTCTGCCCAGTCCAGGGCAGAATTTGGAAACCTGGCTGCTTGGTCCATATTTGGACTGTATAATTAGCAGTCAGGTTGTTTAGATGCTGAGTTGTTACAGTACTTATTACAAAATTTGAGTTTATAAATGATAATGGCAACTTGGCACTGAAGCAGTCAAAGCAAATTGGTTAATCATATCAGTCTAACATGAATAATTGGATTATAGGAAACTGCAAGTGAAAAATTAATCTCTGAAACGTTTCCCTGTAGCTGCACTTTCAGAGACATGAGTTGCTGTGTACTGTAATTATGGCCATGCTGAACGTTAGTACACAAACATATTTCAGCTTTGAAGAGAGAAATTTCGGGGTTAATTTTCACTCTTGAATTTTATGGAACACATAGGCTCTCCTATGTCTCTGGAGCAATATGTTTGCCATCGCCATCTGTTACTCAGGAGGATTTTTATAGAGAAATAATGCAAATTACTTCCCTCTTCAATTACGCTGGTACTTTGCAATATTGCGTTCTGTTGTGATCTGGAAAAGTGCCAGCTTGCCAGATTCAAGGGACAGATGTTTACTTAACCATGAACTTTAAAAACATGATGTAAAAATTAGGAGTTACATTTTCTGATTTTCCAGAATTGTAATTGTACAATTGTGCACCTTGCAATAGGTCAGTAAAACTTTGGGGAGTACTGTCAGAGCTGTTAAGGTTCAATAACCACACCACTATGAGACCTGTTCCATGAAAACACTTTGGAGTCTTTGCTATTGCACCGAAATGGAAAAGTGAACATTTGGTTTATATTGCATTACAGTCAACAACAATTAATTTTTTTCTGGCACAGGAGAACCACCGTGGGGAACACTGAATATGCAGGAAATAGAAAGTGTTTGAAACTATGGTTCACCTGCTGCCTGTGTGTAAAAGCAGGTGGGATTGCAACAGTTTGATCCTGTTCCATACATTTCAAAGAAGCAGAATTTCAAAACCCTTTAGAACCCCTAAATGAATACCCTAACAGTTTGCCTGAATAGAATCATAGAACGATTAAGGTTTGAAAAGACCTCCCAGCCCTGTGCCCGATGCCCACCTTGTCCCCCAGCCCAGAGCACTGAGTGCCATGTCCAGTCCTTCCTTGGACATCTCCAGGGGTGGGGACTCCAAACCTCCCTGGGCAGCCCCTGCCAGTGCCTGACCACCCTTTCCATGGAGAAATTCCTCCTCATGTCCAACCTGACCCTCCCCTGGCACAGCTGGAGGCCGTTTCCTCTCCTCCTGTCCCTTGTTCCCTGGGATCAGAGCCCGACCCCCCCAAGCTCCCCCCTCCTGTCAGGGAGTTGCAGAGCCAGAAGGTCCCCCCTGAGCCTCCTTTTCCCCAGGCTGAGCCCCCCCAGCTCCCTCAGCTGCTCCTCAGAGGACTTGCTGTACGGACCCTTCCCCAGCTCCGTTCCCTTCTCTGGACCTGCTCCAGCCCCTCAATGTCCTTCCTGAACTGAGGGGCCCAGAACTGCCCCAGCACTGGAGGTGCAGCCCCAGCAGTGCCAGCACAGGGACAGTCACTGCCCTTGTCCTGCTGCCACAGCAGCGCTGGCACAGCCCAGGTACCTTTGGCCTCCTTTGGCACACCCAGCTCGTGTCCAGCCACTGTCACCAGCACCTCCAGGGCCTTTTCCAGCTTTCCAGCCCTTCTGCCCCAGCCTGGAGCTGCAGGGGGTTGCTGTGACCCAAGGGCAGGACCTGGCACTTGGCCTTGTTGAACCTCATACAACTGCCCTCAGCCCATGGATCCAGCCTGGCCAGATCCCTCTGCAGAACCTTCCTGCCTTCCAACAGACCCTCAGTGTCAGCTGTGAACTTACTGAGGGTGCCCTCCATTGTCCAGATCATCAGTAAAGATATGAAGCAGGACTGAGCCCAGTCCTGAGCCCTGGGGAACACCACTAGTGGCTGGTCCCAGCTGGATGTGGCACCACTCCACCACTCTCTGGGCCTGGCCATCCAGACAGTTTTTAACCCTGCCAAGAGTGCACCTGTCCAGCTGCAGCTTCTCCAGGAGAATCCTGTGGCAGACAGTATGAAAGGCTTTATTGAAGTCCAGGAAGACACATCCACAGCCTTTCCCTCGCTCACTAGATGGGTCACCTGTCATAAAGAGAGATCAGTGCCACAGTTCAAACTCATCCAGCAAAGAGGTGAGTCCTAACCAAGATGTGGCAGAACTCCATTAGTCCCTGAGGTGTATGTGAAGTCCATCTGCTAAAGCCCTCAGTTTAAGAAAGGAACTGATATGAATAACAAAATGTAATTACTCCCTCTATTCATATGCAATAAATTCAAAAATCTCTACATACACATTAAGAAAAACGGAAAATACTTGTTTACCAACACCTAAATTTCTAAGGAAAAACCCAAACTGATTACACTGTTACTTCATTCCTACTCTCATTTTTTGTCTCTCAACTGACAGACATCGTAATTTCTACCTTTCAAAAATCCATTTTCCCCTCTCAGATCAAAGGTGAGACTGGTTAAGCAAAAAGAGGTATGTGTCAAGGTCTTGTCTTTAATCTCTTTAATCTCTTATGTTCAATGCATACAAAATTGTAGGAAATTCTGCATCTTAATTGTTTAAGTACAAGGCTTAAAAAAAACCAATAAGAGTTTAAAACATGTTGGTAGAACTAAGATCCTGTTATTTTGGCACTAAAGGATAATCTTAAGAGGCAGTCTTGCCCTGAGTGCCACCTAAGCACAAATGATTAACATGAGCTTTGCTCCTTAGCTTTTGGACTCTGCTAGCTGATATCATAATATTTCTGATGCATATCTATAACAACTCTGACTTTGGCAGGTGCCTCTGCAATTCATTACTGTTTGATGGCCATCATGTGACTCTCCTTTAAAAAAGTGCCCCTTATTCCCCAGTTCCAGTAAATACACCTTTCACTGCAGGTAGATACTTCTATGCTCATTTTATACTTTGTCTCACTGCATTTGATATGTTGATATGTCCTGCTTTTAAGTCCTAGATTTAAGAAGATCTATGCATTGCTCTCCTTTATTCTACTGATCTAAATGTATGAATTTTCCACATGAATATACTGCAGAAATTTATACAGAAGAGGTTAAATCAAGTCATTATTGGGAAAGGAAATTACATAAAGTATGTACAGTTCAATTCCAGAAAGAAGAAGCACTGTTAGACTCTTATCTGTAAAATCCATTGGTTTCAAGGTTTGAAATCACTATGATTACAGTAGTGCTAGAAGTGGACTTTCTTCAAGTTCCAGTGTTAATCTGAACGATCTCAGCATAAGCATATTTAAAGCAAATTATTACATGCCACAGTTTACACCACTAGTTTATAATCAATTAAAATTATAATTCCTAATCCTGCAGTCCAGGCAAACCCACAGGCTGCATTCTGGATCAAACACACCACTCGAAGTGAACCT